AAACCCACCGGGCCCACGCTGCTCTGTCCATGGTGCTGACAGAGAGGATGCTCACAATGTCTGCAACTGAGCACCCTGCCTACAGAGCATCCAGGAGACTTCAAGGGTGTGAAGGACCTATTTGGTTTGCTTGTCCATCTGTTCTTTTGCTCATTTGTTTGTTGAGACAGGGTTTCGTTTATCCCCAAATGGTCTCAAATTCACCCTGTAGCTCAAGATGACCTTGAACATCTATCTGATCCTCCTGCCTCTACCTCCCAAGTGCTGGGGTTTCAACCCACTACCCCCACTCACAGTTTATGTACACGTTCTGAAAGCACTCTGCCAGTTGAGCAACATCCCATTCAATCTGTTTGCTATAATAACAACAACACTGTCCTTTTTTAATGAGGAATGAAGTTTTATCACAGGTGCTCTAGAAACCATATACAATACAGGAAAAAAGAAAAAAGTTTGTAAGGATGACACTCAAGGCTGTCCTTCAGGCTCCACCCACATGTGAACATGTGTACACATAATAAAAACAAAAGAAGAAGAAGAAAGCAAAAATTGCCACCAAAGATGATGGCTTTGGTTCTACCCTCCTTAGACTTACATACACATATATGTGCACATATAATATACAGACTAATCGTATTACATAATTTACTAATAAAATTTAAGTTCTGTATGAGTTACCAGATTGATAAATTTTACCTTTTGGAAAAGGATCATGCTCTTTGTAGCACTTGCTTGTAAGGTATACTGATTTAGGTATCTGTACCTTGAGACTATAAATATTATATTCCATGAACATAATTTTATATTTTTTAAATTGAATGCATTAATTTTTCTTTTTAATATTTGAACTGACATAGCAACTGTACACATTAACGAGCGTGGCATCACAATACTGAGCCAGTGTGCAATGGTCAGATGAGGCAGCTGAGAAATCTGCCCTTCGTACACATGTCTCTTCCTTAGGGTGGGAACATTCAAAATCCTCTCTGTTCACTCTTTTGAAATATTCAGCTAGTTGCTGTCAGCTGTAGTTATCCTGCCTTTCTATAGAACATTGGAGTCATTCCTCTTGTCCACTTGTGCCCTTTACCCATCCTCACCCCATCTCTCCACACACCCATCCACACTCATCCCAGGCTAAACCACAATGTTGCTCTTCAGTCCGTGTTATGGATCATTCATTGTCTCCAATTTCAGTGTTACCTTTTTTGTCTCGTTTTGTTTTGTTGACAGGGTCTGCCTATGTAACGCTAGTGAGCATGGTACTCACTACGTAACTGAGGTTGGCCTCAACTTGAGGGCATCCTGCTGCCTCGGCCTTCTGAGCACTGGGGTTACAGGCCTATCGCCCCTCATGTATTGTTACTTTTATAAACAGCCCTTTGAGAGTGAGAAGTAGCTCCTTTGGTAGAGTGCTTGTCTAGTACCCATGAGCCGTAGGCTTGATCCCCTGCACCACAGAAACTGGATGTGGTTGTGCATGCCTGTACTCAGAGCCCTCGAGAAGCAGGACAGGATAATCAGAAACCCAAGGTTATCTTCGGCTGCATAATGAGTATTTCCTAGAACACAGACCTACAGTCTAGGCGAGTCTGTTCCCCAGGGTACCTGCTCAACCCCCTAGAAGGACTATTCTTACAATGCTACTGAGTGACAGCTCTCATCCAAGGGCTGGCGTTTCTCTAGAGCACTGTTCCTGTGACGGGCAGCATCACCTTGGGTTGGGTTTTATTCTGGCGGCAGCCGCCACTGTGCTATTTGCTAGCTCTGGCTAATGTGTCCTGACACAGAGATCCGTGTGGCATCGCCCCACGATGTCCGTAACTGCATGATAATATCTAGTTGGGTACAGAAATTTAAAACCACAGTTCCTCTGCACCACCTTGATGTGGACCTAAATTAAGAACCAGACAGTTTCTCTGGGTTCCGTTTTGTTACCCTCCGCCATTACCTTTACATCCTTTTGCATCTCGTCAGACATAACATCACTGATTTCAACTACCCTCACAGACGTCGAGCTGCTGCATTGCAGAAAGAACTGTGCCGTGGCTGGGAAATCCTTCTCTGTGAGCCTCTACCATCAAGCTTCCTCTTGGGATCTAATATCCCTGCTGTCCAAATACCAAGTGTAATGTTAATGCTGAAAAATAGCAACTTGTGCTTTTCTTCTGCACAGTATGGATCAAGCATTCTTAGTGTGTCCCCTCTGTGTGCTGGATCTTTGTAAATATATTACCCACTAGAGCAGGACAAATACAATGCTGTCGAGCAAATGGAACTGTGTATAAAGCACAGGCTTTGGAAATAAATGACCTGCTAGCAAAAATTGGAAAAGCACTGAAAACCCAGCAGGGGAGTGTGAGGACGACTTTAAAGGCACAGGGAAGAGCTCCTTGGGCTATGCCAACCCCGTGCCACACTAGATTATGCAAAACAGGTTATGAGGGGGTTGAAAAGAGAATTCTTAGGTTTTTTAAAAGAATTTATATCAAGGTTTTTAATGTAGAATATTCTTCAAATATCTTTAAGATACAACTACTGTGGGACATGGTATTGAACAAGAATGCCATCCTGACCCATAGCAGACATGCAGCAAACTGAATCAACAAATCAGATTTTATAAAGACACACACATGTGCACACACACAAATAATACACACATGCACATATACTTATTTTTAATAAATTAATTAGCATTTATAAAAAGAACCTTAGAAAGAACATATGAACTACCATCTCTCATTCTAATAGTTGACTAGGAGTTAGAGGTGGGTCACTAACTTCAAGAAGATTGAGGAGCCCTGTCTGGGAACAGCAGAAAAGGGTGTTGTTATCAGCTAGTAATGTCTGCCACAGAATCAGGCAGTGAAGTGTGACTGCCATTTCTTTATTAGTGGCAGATAGGAGTCCGCCATAAAGAAAGTTTTTCTTTCTTAGTGGCCTGACTTCTTAGGCCTGAATGCCAGCTCTGTCCCACTTATGAGTTACCTGAATTTGGACAAGCCCCTTAATCTCTTGTCTTGGTATCTTCTCTTGAGGAATAGTAATAGACTACCTTACAGGATGCATCAGACACACAGTATTTTGAGACAATGTGAAAGTTGTTCATAATCTTATTATATATTATTCCCCTGCCACTGACTTGGGAGGGATCACATTTTCCTGCTTTGTGAAATGGACAGAACCAAAAGCCAAGAGACCATGAGCCAGTGAAGAAGGGCATGTGAGACGAGTGAATGCCAGCAGTGTCCCTGGAGCTGATGACAACTGTACTTGAAGTTCTTGATGTCATGTCATTAAAGACAATCAGATTATTAAGCGACCCCAGTGATTAAAATTCTGGTGCATGCCTTGAATCCCAGCACTCCAGAGAAAGAGGCAGGTGGATGGATCTCTGTGAGTTTGAGTCTGGTCTACATAGTGAGTTGCAGGACAGCCAGGGCTATGTAGAGAGACCCTGGATCCAAAAAGAAAAAAGAAGAAAAAAACCTTTCTAATCTTAAACATCCATGCCCCCTGGTCCACGTGACACCTTGCTGCATCCCTTCATCCTGTGGCAGAGGGGCACTGTGAGCACATAAGATTAGTAGAGGAAACCTGGATTCTTGTCTGCTTGAGATCTCCCCAGTTTAAAACCCCTAATGTTAAAGGGGACCATTAAGAGAGAGAACACTGAGGTGAGACCCTCTCATTCTCACCATCAGGGACTTAGCAAGATAGGTTTAATGTAAAGAAAAATGCTCCCTAGGGATTGATAACGCCTTTCTGTTCTTCTTCCCCCGCCCCCCAATAGAACTCAAGGCAGTTGGCAAAGCAGCAGGCAAGTCCAAACTTAAAGCAAGGTAATAATCTTTTGGGATAAGCCAGGTGAAACTCACCTTTCCAAAGATGGGGAGGGGTGGAAAGGGTCTTAGGGAGCAGGTCCCTGAGGAAGGGCATTGAGTAAGGAGCTCCTGGAAGTCTCCACACTACCTACTTGTGCTGTGCTGCCACTCACAGGGGAGGGCTCGAAGGTCAAGTGTCTGGGTGCTCAGGATGTCCAGCAATGAAAGGACAGGGCCTTCTGAGTTTGGTCAAAGTCTAGATCAGGGACAGGTACTAACCAGAGACAGGCAGTAACTAGAGGCAGTCAGCAAAAGGCTGGTAGGCAATGCTCTCCCTGGATGGAAGGGTGGATGGCCAAGGAGAAGTTGCAAGCTACACAGGGAAAGAATCAGCTTGAGCATATTCCCTAGGCTTACAGTGAACAGTGGCTAAAACACTGTACCCGGGACCGGCATGCCCGAGATCATGGAAATAAACATGTCCATGGAATAAGCACGTTCTCCTATGTACCCAGCTCTAAAGAAACCAGTAGAGACGTACCCAAGTGTCCCGGCATGCTGTCTTTGTCTTTTGTCGTGTACCCTAGGGTCCCCCCACAAGTGTACTTGCAGAGGCCGGGATGGGTCATCACCTTTCTCCACTGATGAGATGAATGGACATGAGGTCTAGAAAACTCACAAGGCCATTTTTGGGAGTGGTAAGAAGTTAGGGTGAAATCCCTGCTTTACCACAAGTCATAGCTCAGAGCAGCGGGCTGATCCGGGCAAGACAGCCCCCCAGTTCTGCTCTGCACTGACCCCTCTGGTCTATATTCCACACCTCTAGGGGCCAGGCAGGGTGGATCTGATGGGACACCACACACACACACACACAAGGGAATGGCTTCTCAAAGACACCTTCTCTTCAGTTACTCCTTCACTTGTTTAGGGGATTGGCTAAAAAGGGGACAGACAGACAGACACCCTGTCAAGTCAGTCTCACAGCTCCAGGCAGCCAGCTAGGCACTACAAAGCAGCTGCTTTTTCTCCCGGCAGCCAGGTCTTCACCTGGGAGGAAGTGTTTCCCCCTGCCAGGTGTAGAGAGAGGAGAGGAGCATCAGCCCAAGGGAGGTACTCCACACTCAAGTACGAAGGGTCCTCTTCACTCTGCTCCTCGTGGGTCACTAGGTAGACACTTATCAGGCCTAGAACATGAGTCATGACCCCAGGTCATCTAAATTCCAAAAGTACAACCCCATCCCATCTTTGCCCATATTTCATTGAGAACATGTTCAATTCCCTGGGGGCCTACAGAAAACTCTGAGGGCCAGAGAGTCCTGGAGGGATGCTTAGGTGTCCATATGTCATTTGGCCTGAGTCCCTCAGAGAAGGACCCTACTGTTTCTTACCAGACACAGTCACCACCCCAATATCTCTCGGATCTGTCTCTTTGGGCCTGTCTCTGTCAGCCAATGGATGGTGGACACTCCCTTTCATTCCTTTGAATTTCAATCTGGACCCAGTGAAAATCCAGATATTCCTGAGAAAGGACATAGTGCGTTGGAATTGTCCTTCTTGGTCCTCAGCTGCGGGGAACCCACATCTTCACCCCAGCACCCCACCATCTACATCTACAACCCTTCAGATGGGAGTGAGCCACCTACAGGAGCACACCTCCATGCTTGCTTTTAAACTACTTGTCCTGGCGTTCTATCCTTGTCTTTTGTCATGGTATGACATGTGCTTCTGTGGTTTTCCCACTCCTGAAGCAACTGTGAGGCAGGAGGAGCCTCTAGAGATAATAAGCAGGTTTCTGAGCCGGGACTGTTGGGGAGCGTTCTAGAATATTCTGCTGTCAGTGAAGGCATCCATAGATCCTTTCAGGTTTTTGTGAAATAGCACCTGGCTCCATGGAGGGGCACACAGGTCTATTCTCTGTGATCCATACGCTAGTGCCTCCTAGTCTTCTGGCCTCTGCCACCTGGGACTGGTTGGTGGCAGTCTGCAGGAGAGGAAGAGTAGCCACTGTCCTCCCAACCCCACAGTGCCATACATCTGAGATCCTAGCCTGACTTCTGTATGGAAACTAACCAAGCCTTTTGCTCCCCTTTGACAGGACCAAAGTTTCCAGTACTGTTCAAGGAATCAATCTCATGGCTTCCTCTCCTTCGAGCTCCGAATATGACCTGAAGTTCACAACATCTTCTTACTACAGTTTGACAGGAGTCTCTATAACCCTAAGAGACCAGAGCAGTCAGACAGAATGGCCCTACAAGAGCAATTTGGGTAAGGGAGGCTACATCCTACCAGGACACCATGGCCGGGTTCCTATGCCTGAGGTGGGAGGAATGACCCTGAAGTACGTGTGTGTGTGTGTGTGTGTGTGTGTGTGTGTGTGTGTGTGTGTGTCTGAGGTTTGAGTGCTGTCTCCCGTACTTATAACAGGGCACAACTCTGGGTGATAAGATGCCAAGCCAGAAATATTAGGTAAGAAGTGAACTCCCCTGGCTGCCCTGTCACCCAGCACCACACATCCCAGACCCTCTTGGAAGTATCTGCAAAGAGCTGACACAGGCATTGCCTTGCTGTCTCCTCTCCCCTGTCCTTTGCCATATGAGCACAAGCAGCATTTCCCCCTTGGACAAAGGCATTGCCTTCACACATTGTGCACTGGTTCTTTGAGGCAATAGACCATGTCCGGATAACTGTATGGAGACTTGTCAGCAGGATTCAGGCCACCTCAGACTGTGTCTTGGCATGCAGTTGAAACTAACTCCATCTTAAATCCAGGCCAAACCATCAAACAATAAAATACACAGAAGGGATTTCAGGGAGATGGCATCAATGGTCTCAATTCTCTACCCAGTTAAGATCAAAGGCCCTTTCCCCTGGGTCCTAGGGGTGGAAAGCTGAACAGCATTTCCTACCATTGTTAATCATTAAAGTCCAACCTTGGTAGGATCGACCCATGGCTGATTCACAGTGTTACTTCCCATCTGTAATCATGACAGCAGTAAATTGGATTCCCCGTAACCTCACCTCCCTGCCCCAACCTCTGCCTGCTAAATTTTGTGGCTCAAAGGTGGCTAAACAAAATTAGAAGCCACTCCAGAAACAGTGGAGACATAGAGGACAGGCCCACACAAGCCAGTGTATGATGGGCATGTTTTCCCAGGTTTAAGGGATTCCTTGGGTCTACACATGGATTCTCAGGAACCAACCCTGCCCCCCAGAACTGGAACTGTGCAGAGTTAGTGACATCTATGGGAGAACACTGAGCTTTTATCTAAATATGCATAATTGAGGCTCTAAAGGGACTTACTAACTGCCTAGCAAGTGTCAACACTAAGTTGAAAGAATATGGGACAGAATCGGATAAAGAAGCTTTGTAGGAAGGAAAGGCCCAGGGTCTGACCATACCTACTGCTAACTGGAAGGCCAGCCTCCAGCAGCACTAGGGTATGCAAAAAAATCCATGAATGTGGTGAGGGCTAGACTTTTCTATCTGGGGGGAAAATAAGGAAACACACACTTTCTGATGTTAACTTTCTCTTTTACTTCATCTTGAAAAATCCTCTCTGAAAATCTGTCTCCATATAGTTACATTCCACACAGTTACATTCTCCATACAGCCACACATCTATACACACAATTACATCTCTTTTTTACACAGCTATACATCTCATCTACAAAACCCTCTCTTCACCGGGTGGCAGTGACGCACGCCTTTAATCTCAGCGCTCAGGAGGTAGAGCCAGGCGGATCTCTGTGAGTTCGAGGCCACCCTCATCTATAGAGCAAGATCCAGGACAGGCACCAAAGCTACACAGAGAAACCCTGTCTCAAAAAACAAAAAACAAAAACAAAAAACCTCTCTCTTCTATCCATACATCTTTCCTCAACTCTCTACCCTGCTACATTTCTTCACTCATAACTTGCATTTCTCTTCTACATCACTCACTCACTCTCTCACTCACTCACTTGCTCACCTTTTCACACACATCTCTGCCCTATAAACATATCCCTGTCTCCACAGCAAAAATCTAGACAAATTGACATTGAAATTCAGGACTTAAACAATAAACAGTTAGTTTGCTGAACCTTGAGTGGTAGGGAGTATGTGCAGAGAGTCGGTTGCTGCAGGGGTTTATGTCTACTAAAGTTGTTTTGTGCCTGACTTTGGTTCAACAAATACTTGGGAATTTGTCCTTGTATATTCTCTGCAGGGGCAGCTAGTCTGTTTTGAATTTGCTCTAAAGTCTAAAATCAGCTAAATGTGTAAAAGGCTGTCTTTGTCCTATTATTATTTCTATTCATCAAAATTATACAGCTTAAGCAGAAATCATCTTCCTGACCATCAACAGCTATATGTGTGCTCAGTGGATGGAATATATACAGATGATAAACACACAAGCAGTGGGGAAACACCCATAGCTGTTTTTTAGATAAGAAATATAGCGGCACATGAGGAAAATTATAGACAGAGGCAACCAGTCATTTACAGTTAGTATCCCCATGGTCTTTACCAAGTGGGGCTTCCCTTCATAGTGTTATTCATCTGGTGGGCTGACCTGTTGAATACTAGTTGTCACCTGCTGTATACACCCACAGCCTCTGGCACATACCACTGTGGACACACACCAGAAAGACCCTCTAAGACCTTTGTGCCTCCTTCCTCACAATCATTTTAGTATCCATGCTTAACAAATACCACTCCTGCATCCACATTCAGGTTGTAAGCATCATGCACTCTGATCTGTGTGGGCATATTTTCAGCTATGCATCCTCCCAAGACTGGGTCCTTAAAGCCATCAGATACTGAGTAAACATTTATGAAGAACTGGGCAATCCATAGCCAATGTCCACTGGTGAAATAGTAATGGCATCAGCAGCCACAGGTGTGGACTATTTTGCAGCCTGCAAGTCGAGCTCAACAAGGACACACCCAGATTCCTACAGTTACTTGGGGAGAGAATCACGAACAAGTCTGTGGACTGTGGGCTCACACAGGGTGCCCTGGTTTTAATCAAAGGATCCTAGGCAGCATCGAGGACTGGAAAAGGTCCATACCCACTGCAGGGGAAAGGAATTACCTCTCACACTTCCTCTGCATTTTCAGTTACTGCAGGGAAAGGGACTACAACCTGTGGACAGGCCCGAACAGACTTTTGTTACACACTCTTGTCTTTCATTTTGGTCCTACTCAGTATTTCAAACAGAATCACCTGCCATCCTTCCTCTGTGCTGCATATCCAGTGGACTTTGTCCCGGGTCACTGTGTACTATCTAAGCCTACAGGATACCCTGAAACACCATGTACTGTTCTTATAAAAATCTGTGTATATTTCCAATGCTGCTCCACCCCACCTCACCCCACCCTACACGCCATCCCCACCACCATGGAAAAGGGGTTTAGAAGCTTCTAAAGTGATAACACTTGGTGGTTGCCTCCAAGCACCAAACATGTGTGTATCAGCTCTATTTAGTTCGTCTCTTGTCAGTTCATCCCAGCAAACCTTAGGAAGAGGAAGCCTCTCCCTTTTCCCGGGAGTCATTACAGCAGAGACTGAAACACAAAAGAGAACAAGCAGCTACTGAAAATTCATGGAGCATTTTCTTTCCCCTTCTGACTATGGATTATAATCTTTCCAGAGGATCTCTGATGGTAACAGGCACATGATTGTATGGTCAATGAACGGAGCAAGCAGAAGATCAGGGGGTGGGGAAATTTAGCGTCTCTCAGGGCTTGGTGTCTGCCAAATACCAGGAGCATATTTATGTCCTAAAAAACCACACTGGCTGAAGAAGGCTGTCCTCTCCAGGGGAAGTCCCTTAGGCCAGGGAAACAAGATCACATGACCAGGCTAAGCCCTGGAGGCAGCTTCCAAAGGCAAGCCCATAGTGCCTCCTGCCACATCATCCTGTGAACTGATTTTCAATTACTTCCCATTCTCAGCTTCATCCAAGTGTGTGCATGGACCAAAGCCCTAATTAATACAGAGATGCCCACCAGGCATCTGAGCTAGAGAGAGAGGCTAGAGAAAGAGCTGTGGCTTCAGCTTCTCCAAAGGGGATGTGAGAAGGAGACACACAGGAACCAGAAGCACAGATGGGGAAGTGCAAAGTTGAGTCAGGAAATGGGGAGGAGAGACACACAGAAAGACACTCTGTGGGGATAGAAAGGCCCCTGACACCATGGCATACTTTACTAAAGATTTCTACTAAAGGCGTGGTGGCGCATGCCTTTAATCCCAGCACTCGGGAGGTAGAACCAGGCAGATCTCTGTGAGTTTGAGGCCAGCTTGGTCTACAGAGTGAGATCCAGGACAGATACCAAACTACACAGAGAAACCCTATGTCAAAAACAACAACAACAACAAAAAATTCCTACACAGGACGGGGCAAATAAGGATCTGCTTTCTTTGGAGAAAGCACCTTCCACTTATTGCAGAAACATGGCAACTGACCACGGGGCTGAGAGCTTGGTACTGAAGGCCAGCAGGGAAGGATGGAGGTGAGACTCGACATAGCCTGAGTGTCCTCCACACCAGGTCCAGCAAAGATGCTCACTTACTTCCAGCCCTTATCTGAACCCTTGCCTGAGATGACCTGAAGTCTGCATTCTTAACACGGTCCCTGGAAGACTTAGCAACATGAGCAGTGGAGAACTGGGGGCCTTTATTCAGTTCAGAATAATATCGTGGGGCCAAGGATCTTGTGTCTGAGGAACTCTTCATGATAAGATTGTTTAGAACACACAGGTCAGAAACAGTATCTTGTATGGCACAGATTTCACTCACGAAACTGCCCAGATAAATCCCTGAAACTTGTTCTCCCAGAGGATGGCAAGTCTGACATGGAAAGAATACTAAAGAGCAGGAAATGCCTCATGGTCCAGAAGGGAGGACCAGAAAGACTGTTTACAGCCCCCGAGAGACTGTCTATCTAGACACATGGCAGGTCATAAACAACGGAGACCAGAAATCCTAGCACTGAGTATTACATCTGTGCTCAGAGAAATCGAGACTTAGCACCTGGCACGTGGCTGGCAGCTATCCACTTGTTAAATCCCTTGGAGGATGTGATTGAAAAACCCCCTCGTGACTCAAGATAAGGTTGTGCAGGTAAAAAAGCACATCCTTCTCCAAAGAGATGGACAGAAGTATAAGCAAAGGCACTGTGTTTTAAAACGTGGATGAACAGGAGAGTGATTCTCAAAGCCACCTGGCAAGAGAGACGTGGCCAAGGTTGGAAAGCTTCCCAGAGTGGGAACCAGTGTGTGTTCACACAGTGTGTCCCTTGGCGGACATGGACTTGGATTTTATTTTTTCAGTGCTGGAAATGAAACCCAGCAACTGAGCATGCTGATGTGCTCCACCAAAGTCACATCCCTGGTCCCTAGTCTGTGATTCCAAAGAGTCATGTGCAGAGGTTTAAAAAATATAGGGGTGTTTCTAGACATGAATGAACAAAAATAAATGGTGCTGAGCTTTAAGAATGTGGCCAGGAAAACTGAATCCCAGGAGAAACATTCCTGTCAAATAACAACAATAATGATAAAATAAAAAACAGGGTCTTGTGTTTGCCTGCCCCAATATCCACCCCATCTATGATCTGCTGCATCACGGGGGTGTTCAGGAAGAATCCCATTGAGGGCCCAGCGTCAATGATGTAGCAGGAACCAGGAGCTTTGTACCAGACCAATGATTCTTTGAGATGAATGCCTGCATGTAAAAATCTATGGATAAAGGGGTTTACTGTGTGACTCACTGTGTCACACTGCAGCTTCCATGATGAGATTTTTCCCTTCTTCCTTTTTTTTTCCTTACATTTTATTTTGTTTTTTATTATGGGGTGGAGGAGATGGGTGGAATCCGGAGGCATGATGTGAAAGGCACAAAGAATAAATAAAAAGAAAGTTAGAAAAAAAAAAAACCACACCAAAACCCAGAGGCTCTTTTATTTACATCTGCTTGTCTGTATGTGTACCATGTGCATGCAGTACCCACACAACCCAAAAGAGGGCATTGGACCCCTGGAAGAACTACCATTTTCAGGCAGTTGTGGACAACCAGATTTGGGTGCTGCAAACCAAATCCAGGTCCTCTGCAAGAGCTGCAAGTGCTGTGAACCACTGAGTCGTCTCTCCAGCCCTGGGGGCTCTGTTAAAATGTAACTAGAGCACAAAGAAGGTCGTGATAGACCTGGCCCCTCTCCTCGGTGCTGGTGAATGGCACAGAGTCAAGCTCTACATCCACTCTTTCATAGCTACTTCACTGGGAAAAAAAAATCATCTTTGGATTGGAAAAAGCACAACAAACTGCATAAGAAGCAGCAGAAACCAAAATGGTTTAAAAGTCAGAAGAGAATGGCAACCGCTGCCTTCCAATCTAGACCCAACAACCCCCAAACATAGAGAGAATAAGAATGACTCAACCATCTTTCTGGGATCTAAGGAATTTTCAGAAATTGGGGAGATGAGCTCATGGCCAGTCTAGGACAGGTATTGAGAGTAACATGGCCTCCACAAACCAGTATGCAGCTAGCAGGGACAGTCAGTTAGCGTCGGTTGTCATTTTTTGACAAAATGGCCATTGGCAAGTATAATAATCCTACAGAGTCAAATCCCACCAGGCCTTTAATGCCCAAAGACTTCTCAGTGTTTGGGGACAAGACAGCAATATGAGGTGGATGCTGAGGAGGGATGTAGAAGCATTAACAGAACAGCACCCAGAGAACCGTTGACTAGCTCAGGCTCAACCTGGTCGGTCTCTAGTGGAAAGCCACGGAGCTCTTTCCAGGGCGGCCTTTTGCAAATATGGAAGGGATGTTCCTATTTGTGGGTGAGCTGTATTTGATAATATAATCAGAGTCTAGATTTTGACTAAAAAAATCTGGTCATTCATATCAGATCCTGCTCTGTTAAATCCCCCAAACAACAAGCTAGGGAAGTACAGGTGGAGGGGAGGCTGTGTACTGTCAGAACACTCATTCACCATGTCCCAGTGAGTAAATGGGATGAGAAGTTACCATAACCAAGTGTAACTAGAGGCCCAGCCTGGGGGTGGTGTGTTCACTTTGGGGGAATGCTATGTTCTACAGGGAAAGAAGTATATTGGCTGGGGCACAGAGGACAGCTGGGGTTAGGTGAACCTGGACACCATAATCTGAAGAACTGTTGAAGTAAAGCAGGGTACTCAGTCTGGAAGATGCTGATTGCTGTCAAGTGGTTGGGGGTGCACAAAGCTACAAGCTGCCTCCTTCCCGTCCGCCCGGTGGAGCTGGGACAGACCTGCTCAAGGCAGAGGAAGGATGGCCCCTACCAATCAAGGCAGTTCTGTGATAGGATGCTGTGCTGGCTAGCTTTATATCAACTTGGCAAAGGCTAGAGTCATTTGAGAAATGGGAACCTCAGTTGAGAAAAGGCCTCCATAAGAGCAGGCTGCAGGCCAGCCTGTAGAGCACTTTCTCTATTTATTAGTGACCAACAGGGGAGGGCCCAGCCCATTGTAGGTGATTCCATCCCTGCACTGGTGGTCCTGAGTTCTATAAGAAAGCTGGCTGGGCAAGCCATGAGGAGCAAGCCAGTAAGCAGCTCCCCTCCCTGGCCTCTGCATCAGCTCCTGCCTCCTGGTTCCTGCCTGGTTTGAGTTCCTGTCTTGACTTCCTTCCATGGTGGATTACAATGTCAAAGTGTAAGCCAAATAAACCCTTTCCTCCCCAAGTTGCTTTTGGTCTTGGTGTTTTACCACAGCAATAGTGACCTTAACCAAGACAGATGTGCTTTCTGAGATTAGTGTCCTGTGCTTATGGAGGTGCTGGTGCTCATGCTGAAAGATGGTAGGTGCTGGCAGTGCGCGTGTCTGGGTCTCTCTTCCAAGCACTGAGAGCCTGGTACAAACCTAACCCTCCTGTAAATGATGGATCAGTGTGCTTTCTTTTCCTCATGGGCCTGTTCCTCTTCTGCTGCAAGAATGGAATGCACGGTGTGAGTGTGTATGTGAGAGAAAAAGTGTGTGTGTTTGAGGGGGGGGAGAAAATGTGTCTATATGTAGGTAAGGAGTGTATGTGTGTGTGTGTAAGAGAGCATTGTATAAGAGTGTTTGTGTGTGAGAGAGAGAGAGACTGTGTGAGAGTGTGTGTTATGTGTATATGTGTAGGTAAGAGGGAGTGTGCATGTGTGTGTGTAAGAGAATATTGTATAAGAGTGTGTGTGTGTGTGTGTATGTGTAAGAAAGAGTGTGTGTACTTGGGTGCACACCTGTTTAGGAACAGGAAGAAGAGATAGTAGCACAAAACCCAAAAAGCAGAAATGGCAAAGCTTCAGAAGACACAACCCAGAGTGACCGTGACGTGTGTGTGCATGTGAGAGAGAGAGAGAGAGAGAGAGAGAGAGAGAGAGAGAGAGAGAGAGAGAGAGAGAGGTCTAAGGAAAACACTGTAAAGAATTGCAAGCTCAGCAGATCTATCCGCCGGCTGTTTCCCATAATGCGCCCCATTATGTGTCTCCTGGGGAGCTCTTGGCACACACAAAAAAAGCAGAGAAGTTTCCTTGCTTTGGTGACAAGAGTGCCCCACTGTGCATCCCCAGAGCCTGGAGGCACCTGGCTCTCTGGTTCTTACAACAGGATTTAAACTTCTGAGACCTCCCCGACCTCCAGCCCTGCCAGCCCAGGGACAGCCAGGGGAGACCACTGATTTCCTGCAGTCTTGCAGAAAGTCACCAAAGAAGTCAAGGCAGCCATACCCTGAAGCCTCCACCCTTCCCCTCCCTCAGTCAGCCCTTGGGCACCAAGCGCCCCAGTGTACGGGCTCCATGTGTTCAGCGTGGACCCGTTGCAAAGCCCACGCCTGGGATCAGAACGGCTACTCTCTTTCATCTTTTCACAGGAACGCCCTTAAAATCAAAAACAACACTAGATCAAGACGACGCCTCCGCGTTAACACATAAGAAATCTGACTTGGAAGGTAATGCTTGGGGTGACTTTAAATGACCGTAGAAGGTACTAACCCAGCCACAAGAAGGTAAGAAGTGCAAACGTAGCCTGGCCCGTGCTGAGGAGAACGCTTCCTCATTCCTCAGCCAGGCATCCTCACTGACAGTCCATGGCCAAGGCATCACTCCTAGAATGTAGCACCAAAGAAAGACACCGAATCAGAGAGGTAGGGCCCTGGAGGTTTTCCAAGGAGAAGAAACAGCATCTATGATTGGAGGCAGGTGGGAAGATAATGGTCATCAGACATGGCATTTTCTTGTTCACTGAGCAGGATATTGAAATGGGCAAATTGTAACGAGAAAGAAGAAACAGGAACAGGGGGAAGGGACCAATGTTTACTGAGGGTCACTACAGGCCCCAGACTGCTGTGGACCGAGCTTCTCTCTGCCTGTGCGATCTCAACCTCCATCACCTCCCCTTACCCCTCAGCTTAAGAGGTGATTTTAAAATCAATTCCCCCAGGGATTAAAAGGTCCACATATGTGGCAGTAATAATTTCTCCTATTCTTTTTGGCATTTGAGGCCCGTAAAACAGAGAAAGGCAGATTGCAGTAAGAGTCCAACTTGACCTATTATTTAGAGATTCCTGCAGTGTGCTGTGGACTGGGGAGGCGCCCCAGGTGATTGCTCCCTTGCTAATGCAGCTTAAATATATCAAGTCCTGGAGAGGAACCTGGGGACATGCTGGCACACAGCCCCCGAACCTCCTGAAGGAGAATAAAACGGAAAATAAGAGTCTGCAGAGGAAAGCAGATTGGCCGGTGTGGGAAAGGGCCAGAAATCCGTCTCCATATTCCAAAGTACAGGGAGGAACTTATATATGGGCCTTACTGGGGACCAGTGCAGTAAGACCAAGAGATGCAGGAAGGACCTTGGCAGTGGGATTTTGTGATGGGAGAGGGAGATGGGGCTTCATTGCGAACACAGCCTTGACAAGAGGGATTCACATCCAAAGAGCAGGCAGAGGTGAATGGATAGAAATGCCTGTGAAGGAGGCATCAGGGGGAGCAGGTTCTCAGTGAAAGGCAGCCCGAGGGATCAAACACCTAGCTTGGTAGATTTTCTGAACCAGTGAAGAACCAGGCCTGGGCTTGAGATGCTCAGGTCTCAGGGTGTGGCGCTCCCGCTAAACGGACTCAGGAAGGCATTGGCTACAACTAGGTTTCAGAAAGACGTGAACAGACAGGCCAAGGAGACGACAGTTGAGGAGGTGAGTAAACTTTGGCCAAGCAAAGGTTCCTGTCATTGGAATATGGGGACCAATGCTCCCACTCCGTGTGGGAAACGTACACGGAGCAAACACCCCAAATTCAAGTGTGCGGTTCTATCAAGAAGAGCCTTGGCAGAGAGGCACCAAGACAAGGTGGAATCAAAATTTGCTCTTAATCAGATGGGAGGGAAAGCGTGCTACTGGGGACTGTGTGTTACCGGGCATCGGGCTCCGTCAGGCCTGGTCTCCGAGCCACCCTAAAGAGGAGCATTTTTGTCCTCAGGGTACAGGTGAAGGGCTAGGCTGTCTGAGGGGCGAGCGACATGGCAAGTGGCACAGGTTTTATGAGACAGGGCCACCTCTTGCTCCCAGCCTGGCACACCCCTCTCCCCACCCTCCGTGGAACAGATAACGATCTCATCAGCATGGAAGCAGAGGCCACAGGAAACCCCCAAAGGAGCCATTAACTAGAAATAAAGATTCTGTTACTCAGTCCAGTCACAGCTCCGCCACTGCCGTTGACGGTGTGTTCCGCGGACACACCGCGGACGGAGCCCGGTGATGTTAATAAGCTTAATAATCACACTGAACCCAGCCCGGCTGCACCGCTGCTTAATGTTCAGGGGTGCCAAGCTCACCTCCTTCTTGCAGGAAACGCTACTCACTCTCTTCCTTCGGTTAACTCTGGATTATTTGGTAAAGCCTGTTAAAATAAGGAGTCACCGGCAATGAGGTTTTGCCGGGCTGTCAGGCCCCAGCCAGGCTCAGACTCCATCATGTCTGCTGGCCACAGGAGTCAGTGGCGCCACATCGCAGAGCCTCTTACCCTTGCCACCTGCCTGGCGGTCTCTTGGGCTCCTGTCGTGCCCATTCACTCGCTCCTCTTCTCCGATGCTAGCCACAAGGAGCTCCTGAGTGCTTGCTTGAACCCTGATGGGTTCTTGTTGGGTGTTCCTAAATGGCTTTTCAAAAGTACTGTAGGAGCATACCGTGTTCTTAGCACCCCGGTGATGGTGGCATGCGTGCCCCTGTAAGGGTTATGGGGAAAATGGCCGCCTGTGAATTCTCAGCTGCCACAAGCTTGTCTAGAACAAAGCACCGATATGTAGATGAAATTTGCAGACAGAAAGAACCGAGTCAGGCACCCTGTCAGGAGTATGAAGGAGTAGAGGCTTTTTCTAGTGAACCCAAAATTAACACGTGGAGACCACAAGGAGTACCCCTACCCTGGACCCCAAATGCATAATAAGGGGACAGAAGTAAATGAACTAAGCCATCCCTGTGACTCCCTGCTGGGTTTCCAGGGCTCTCTGGATGCCCTGGCTTGAAGGACCTGTATCATCCTGAAGCTGAGGTGACAAGTCACTGTCATTTCCCTAGGGACACAATATCCAGCTAGAGCTGCTTCCTCCGAGCCCTGCCTTGGGAGCCACACCTTCCCAGGAGTGGGGGAGAGAGAGACCAGAGTTATAATTATCAATTCCACAATTCAGTTCGCATCCCCGTCACCCTGAAGGCTAGAAACCCTTCTCCATTTCCTAAGCCTCCAGGCTAGGGCTGACCATGAAATGCAAAAGTGTGCACCATTTCTGGTAGACGCTCTTGACTGTTTTGGACTGGGGAACCCTCTCCTAACTTGATTAGCAATGGTGAGCCATAGGCAAGTCTAGACATCAGCAAATTTGAGAGAGCTAGTGGGAGATCAATAAAGTTCTTGGAACTTCTGACATAAAACTAAATCTCCCTTGAGAACACGAAGTCCCCCTTGACAATCCACAAGGACCTCTGCAGCTAGCCCCTGCCCTCCATCTCCTCTGCTGGCTCCCCAGGCACCTTCTTAATGCTCCACACCAGGTATCCCGTGCTTTTGCAGTTTTCCAACATGTGTGTACCTGTCTCTCCAGTCTCATGACTGGGCAGCAGTGGGGCAGGGCGGGGTGGGGGCGGGGGAGGTGGTAATACCACCCAATTCCTAGCCATCTGCCTGCTCTCCATCTACTTCATTCAAGCATTACTTTGCCAAGCTGACGTTCACCAGACATCAGGACCACAGCAGTTCCCTTAAGTCGGCCACTGAAATTACTTATTCCATGCCTATTTTATTATTACCCCCATGTTGAGTCGTACATAATTTAATGAATTTGCATCCTTGGTGATGCCTATGGTTTTCTTGTTGAACTGATGAGAGTGAGGTAATAAATCTATTTCCTTTCTCTCTCTCTCTCTCTCTCTCTCCCCCTCTCTCCCTCCCTCCCTCCCTCCCTCCCTCCCTCTCCTCTTTTCTCTCTGGTTTGATTTTCCCTCCAAATGCACTTCCTTTCAATGTTCCTTCCCAAACTGAAAGCCTCGGAGAGCTTCCCTCAAGGGTCCTTTTGGGACACTATACTAAATGAGCCTTTTGACAAGCAGGAAGATGAAGCCTATGAGGTAAGTGGGTGAAGAACTACAATCTCCTACCTAGAAGGAGACACAGCTTTCACATAGCTACATGGGACTCAGGAATAACAGGCCACATTTGCCTTCTTCCAGAACATTTCTTGGGCAAGCAGGCTGAACAGGGAGCCCCCATCACAAGTACCTCAACATCCCAGGGCTTTGCCACTAGAGGACATGAAACACAACCAGACTTATTATTTATTGCCTTCAGTAGTCTGATTCAACCTTGATTTTTGAATATTGAAGTTACCTTGTGCACATGATTTTTAAATATTGAAATGGTAAAAAGGCTATAAAATAAATTTTTCAACTCTCCTCTTTACCTCCCAGAAATAGCTATTATATAGTGTACTTTATGGACATGCCTGGAAAATTTAATACATATTAAATATACTTATTACAATAGCACAACTAGCCACTTATGAGACCAGAATATACATTCTGTCTATTTCTCATTTTTCCCTGGGTAATATATTTTGGAAATCTGTATTTCATTATATATTCTTTTATGTTGTTGTTTTGGTTTTTCAAGACAGGGTTTCTCTGTGTAGCCCTGGCTGTCCTGGAACTCACTCTGTAGACCAGGCTGACCTTGAATTCACAGAGATCTGCCTGGCTCTGCCTCCTAAGTGCTAGATTAAGGGCGTGCACCACCACTGCCTGGCTTCATTACATACCTTAAACCTTTACTTAACTGGTATCCTATCCCTATCATTGGGTAGTTTTCTGGTAGATGCAGTATTTAATACATGCACATGTGTGTGTGTGTGTGTGTGTGTGTGTGTGTGTATGAGAGAGAGAGAGAGAGAGAGAGAGAGAGAGAGAGAGAGAGAGAGAGGAGAGAGAGAATCTGTATCCTTGACTCAAAAAATAATGACAGTTGTGTATTGCTGCAGCCTGAGAGACCAGCTCTCAAGGCTGCACCTAGGGATTTTTTCCCGCGTAGCGGGGACTTTAGGAAACTTTTATCTGAGGGTCTTTAGGAGTAAATTTCTATCAGAGGGAATCAGACTCAAACACAAACTGAGGGTATTTCACTTGATTCTCTCTAGCTTTTTTTTCCAGCTCTAATTCTACCTATTTTCTTTGTTCTACACAGCAATATACACATTTTACAAGAGGTTTGAGGCAGGAAAAAGAAAAGTTGCCAAAGCTACATCTCAGGGTCACAGCACATTCCTTGAGTAAATGATAAGGAGCAGAGCCATTTTCCATGGCAACACACAGGTAGGGCCTTGGTGCTCAGCACTTTCCCAGGGACTGGCATTGAAAGTGCCCCAAACCTAAAAATATATTCTCTTACCCTGTTTGTAACACCAGATCACAAGGAAGGGAGCTTGTAACCCTTTATTTAAGGCTGTGAGGCCAGACCATCCTCTGTAGCCCTGGCTAATTGTGAAACTTTTTTCACGGTTTAGCTAGACAAAGCTATTTCTCTCTGGACTTGATTAATTGATTAATTGTTATTTGGGACCTAAACAGTGAACAATTAGTTAGTTGAACCCTAAGTTTTATATCATATACTGAGGTTAGAAGTTTGTGCAGAGTGTTAATTGTTAAGGAATTTAGTAGGGAGTGGCCACTGGTCTGTGTTATCAGCTAGGCCTGGCTAGAGAGACTAGCATAGTATTTTCGGTTGCTTTGTGCTCAATAACCTTGATTAGACATCTGCAACTTTGTCTTTGTGAATATCTGTAAAGTTGTAACTTGTGATCCATTTACAAAGATGTTCAGTCTAGTTTGAATTTGCTCTTGAGGTTTTGAATCAATTAATTGTATGTGGCTTGTCTTAGAACTGAGAAGAAATTGTTGTTGTTGTTGTTGTTGTTTATGCCAGTCTGAGCTAGTGATAAGAAAACAAGGCCTAAGTGTCTTAGAGTCTTCATGGAACAACAGATCTAGTTATGAAACATATCCTAGTATATTTTCTATTTATCAAAATTATACAGATTAAGGAGAAGTCATCTCCCTGACCATCCACAGATATCTGTGCCCATAAGATTGAGATGTAATCATGAGGTTACATTACATACACACATCACGTGAAATTACACATTACAGTGCAGGTATTGGGTCTCCCCACAGCTGTTTTTGCACATGTGAAATTACAGACAGAGGCAATCGTTTTTAGAGTCTGTGTAAACGTGTAAACGTTTTCAAGGTCCTGTAAACCTTGCTTGACAGAGTTCTTCCATCAGGGAGTAATTTCTCTGATGGATCAACACCTGAATTATCCATTGCCATCTGCTGTGTATTCTTGTGGCCTCTGGCGAAGCCATTGCTACCAGCAGCTCTCACTAGTGTGTGATGACCACACCTGTAATCCCAGCACTGGAGAGGTTGAAGTAAGACAACGAGTTTGAGTCAGCCTGGGCTATGCTGTAAAGCCCTATGACAGAAACAAAACAAACAAGACTGGCAGGTTTCCATCCAAATAATTTTGGCCATTTTCCTCTTCGCAAGAGACCGTAAGAGAGCCCCTCCATGAAAGTCAGCAGCAGGACCCATCTGGCAGGGTGGAAATGGCGATGTGTTGCCTTTTGCACTCAGACTGCATGATAATGGGGTGTTTTTTCCTGCTCATAGGCCTCATGTGTCTCCTCTGCGAGCACCCAGTGGGAGGGTCTCTTGGCTGTCCTTCCATTCTGCTGCTTACAGCTTTTCCTACCGGGTTTATAGGAACTTCTTTTTAATTTATTTGTTTTGTCTGCATGTGTGTCTATGCGTCACAAACATGCTTGGTGCCTACAGAGGCCAGAAGGAGTCAGATTCCCTGGGACTGGAGTTACAGACAGTTGTAAGCCACCATCTGGGTGCTGGGAACCAAACCCAGGTCCTCTGGAAGAACAGCCAGTGCTCTTAACCACTGAGCCATCTCTCCAGCCCTATGGACACTTTTTGATAAAGAAAGAACCTAGTCCTTTTCCGGCATCTGTGTTGTGAAGGTTTTTTTCAAGTCTTTGTATTTCAAATCCTTAATGGTCTTCCCCACAACATGGTCATTTTTCATTTTTATGTAGCCTCATTGATCAATATTTTCTCTTATGGCTCTCAGCTATTATTTTATGTTTATTAAAAGGTCTTTTCATGCTCAAAAAGGATTTTATAAATCACTTGGGGTTTTTTTTCTACTTCTGTTAGGATTATTTTAAAAAGTATAACTGAGATGTATTTGAAACATATACTATATACTATTATTTACATACATATATACATAAATGTGTATGTGTATGTATAGATGCATATACATGTAAATATACACATATATATACATATAACTTAGTAGATCCAGCCAGAGTGCCCTGAAATATTGAGAATCAGTTTTGCATTTCTAAAAATCACTCCGGTAGTTTTGTAGATGGTGGGCTGCAGTGGAGAAACTAAGGACAAGGAGAAAAACAACTTCACAGGATTAGTACAGATAAACAGTAATGTTGTCTGGCTGCTCAGGGACGTGACATGGGATTCAGTGACACTCAGGAGACTGGGAAAGTCCAGAGGAGAAAGGCACGCTTGCAGGTTGAAGCAGAAACTTCCACTTGGTCCACACTGAGTGCTAAGTGCCTGTAGGAGATCCAGATAAGGTCCAGCTAAAAGCCAAGGAGGAAGATCTTGGTTGCAGAGTTTGGTGTGGGATCCTTATTAGTTTACCATTGTACTGAGGAGAAGTTGGCTTAAACAGCAGAAGTGTGTTGACCTTCAGGCCTGGAGGCTGGAAGCCCAAAGTCTAGGTGTTGGCAGTCTTGACCCTTCTGCGAGCTCTGAGGGAAGGCTGTGTGCCTCAGGCCTCTCTCCTAGGCTATGGATGGCATCTCCTCCCAGGTCACATCATCTTCTCTCCCTAGCCTTTAGTATCCTTTAGTATCCTCTCCCCACTTAGGTAAGGGTCTAAGTCATGTTGGATGAAGGCTGCGGTAGTTCATGCTGATTGTCGACTTGACGAGATCTAGACCAACCAGAAGACAAACCTCTGGGCCTGGCTGTGAGGGGTTCTCTCTCCCTAGCAGTGAGTGGCACCCCTCCATGAGCTGCGAACCTGGACGGACATGGAAGGAGAGGAGGAGGTGGGCAGCTGTGCAGCGGGCCACTCTGCTGCTCAAGCGCTGTTGCCCGCAACTCAGGGACAGCGGCACCAGGCCACAGACACCAACCCCCTGACAGACAGACACTCAACAGCTCTGCACCACTGTCACTGAACACCAGACACAGGCTGCCCACATCATATGTAACTTTGAAAGGTTAACGTCAGTCATTCACTCTAGGAGGTTAACAAGTTAATGATACACAATCTGTTATCACATATTGAACAATAATAACCGTAACAACCTCAACTTGGAGATACGCTGGGAACAGGTAGGCTCAATCCCTAGTTCCTCTCCAAGAAGTCTACCTTCATCTCTATCAAAAAAAAACAAACAAACAAACAAAAAAAAAACGTGGAAAAAAAAAACAAGGTGGGGACTCACCTGTGGGTCAGTCATAGTCAGCAGCAGAGCCCTGGGACAGAACGGTCCCATTTATGAACACATAGACAGAGAGGAAGACCACAACATAAGCCCCTTTGAATGCAGAACTACCCATACACTAGATGTTACAAGCCTTGACCTTGAGTAAGCCAGCCATCCCTGGGAGTTCAGTCACGTGTAAGGTACAGAAAGCCTGCTACATACTTCAAATATGGAGATGTGTCTGTAGTCTATAACCATTTCCACAGTCAAAACATGATTTTATGTTCCCAAAAGATTTCGTAACATACAGATACTAAATATAATTCTTCAGGGAATTGGGGGAGCAGGCAAGAAGAAGATCTGATAGTAGTGGGAGATTTCTTTATCCTTTTGTATTTTTATGGTGTGTGTGTGTGTGTGTGTGTGTGTGTGTGTGTGTGTGTGTACCACAACATGTTTGTAGAGGTCAGAGGACAAGTCTCGGGGGCTGGTCCTTGCCTCTCCCGTAATTGAAACAGAGTCTCTCTTGCTTTTTCTGCTGCCATTCTGCAAACTCCATGCTAGTTATCCCAAGCTTCTGGGTAATTGTCCTCTCCTATCATAGGAATGCTGGGATTACAGATGCAGGCCACCACATCGAGATTTTTACATGGGTTTCAAGAATCAAACTAGAGCCATCAGGGTTGGGTGGCCATCATCCTGGCCCTGGAAGATTTCTTTAAGAGAATCCTCCTGGCCCTTCGGCAGCCTCACATGCACAGTTGGTATTTCTTAGCAATATATTAAAGTATCACCTGGTATGACTGGGGTCAGAAAAGTTACTAGCTGACAAAGCCTCAGTCTCCACTTCCAGGCTGCTTCATCCTGTGATCCTTTTGCAGTCTCTTCCCAGCTCCTATCAGTCTGTGTTTAGGGAGATAATCATCGAGCTGGCGTCTCGCCACCAACTGGAAGAGGAGCTGGACATGCCCTTGAGCAAGCTGATGGAGGGCGAAAACAGGAAGAAGCTGGGCCTCCTGTAAGTAACTGTCGAGGGCAGTTGGTCAGTGGGTGCCAGGAAACCAGATGTGGTAACAGGGCAAGTGTAAGCCCTGAAAACCTGGGGAAGAGAACCGAGCTAGGGTCAGGCTGGAGCCCTGAGTCAGGATGCAAGCCTGGGCCAGACACGTGCACATGGGTAATGCCCAGGAGTCAGTGCACACATGATCCAGTTACTAGACCCAGAATTCACACGGAAGGAACCGTAAGGATGTGGCGCACAAAACAGAAGCCAAGGCAAGCAATGCCTTTGATTTGTACATTGACATGAGCTCAATGCCTTGATCGTTGTGGAAGGTGGTGCTTGGTCTGTCTTTAAAGATAAGTCACATGGGCTGAGGCTACATGACCTTTTCCTACCAGGACCGATTTGCTGTCTGTTTCCCATGGATATTAGTGTCATTTCTATTTGGTTGGATGTAGCTATTTGAGTGGTTGCATGTTGCTTTGAGTTTCGAGGGGTTTCCGAATGGTTCTGGACAGTTCGTGGACAATGCTATTTTTCCAAGCCATGTAACCCCCATGTGATTCAGATCAGGCATAGGAAAGCAGGGACTTAACTCATACAGCTACCCTGGCACCTGGACCTCCATGCCTGCCCCTGACCCCAAGATGACCCTCTCTGGATTCATTTTGAAAGATAATTCAAGTACCCATGCTGATCAGTTACAGGTCATGTGGGAAGAACTGAGGAGATGCCACATGGCACCCCTTAATTCTTGAGAGTACCGACCAGAAGGGAACCTGGGTCAGAAGAGGAGCTCTCCACCTGGCTTTCCCTGAGGTTAAGACTCCACAGCCTCTAGGTCCACCTTATCCTGTATTGTGATACACAAACATGGATTAAACTTGACTTTTGAAGATTATTTACATTCCTTTCAGGTTGAAGAAGAATTTTGAAAAATACAGAGAGACGATTATGTGGATTATTAAAAAGCGTGAAGGTAAGCACCATTCTACCAGTCTGTACACATGCCTGATCTTTGTTTGCCTACTTGCTTGCTAGGTTTCTCCTCTCAAATACTATTCAGGACCCCACCACCCCCAACTGCCCCACTCCCCCACCCCATCCCCCACCTAGGGAATGGTGCCACCCACAATGGCCTGTGTCCTTCCACATCAATTAACAAGACAATTCCCACAATCAAGACTGACCTACAGACATGCCCACAGGCCAAGCTGATCTAGACAATTCCTCAGTAAAACTCTCGTCTCATGTGTTAAAACTAACCAGTTAAAACTAAACTTCTAATTTGAAAATGAAATAATAATATAATAATAAGGCTGGGTTCCCCATAATGCACCACCATCATGCCTGTCTACACCCTGTTTCTCTGGATACCAAAAGCCTAAAATGTTTGAGCAGCCTGTACAGAGAAGCAATGGTTTTAATTGAAGAGTGGCTTCCCCTTCATGGTCCTGATAGAGCCAGTTCCAAGGAAACCTCTAGACACCTTTGAGATGCTGTTCACTTGGTTCTTGTCTCTGGCCTATTGTCCCGTATTACTGATCTATCTCCCCACATTTCTGGACACTCTCATTTCCAAGCTAAGGTTGAGTTAACATGCCATCATATAGGGAGCCACTTCAAGAACAGCTCCGTGATAGTTACAAAGCCCTGCTGGCCTTGTCCTGAAGTTCTTAGTAATTTCGGAACAAGGGTCCTTGCGTTTTTATTTTGCATCATTAAATGAGATAGCATCTCCTATCCAGAACCACCTATTCCAAAGAAAAGGCACACCGTAGCCAGGTGGTGGTGGTGCACATCTTTAATCCAAGCGCTTAGGAGGCGGGTGCAGTTTGAGGCCAATCTGGTCTACAGAGTGAGTTCCAGGACAGTCAGGGCCACACAGAGAAACCCTCTCTCAAAAAAAAAAAAAAAAAAGGAGAAGGAAGAAGAGGAAGAAAAAGGAGAAGGAAGAAGAAGAGGCACATGAGAACATGATACAACTTATCATCGAAATGCAAAGCTCTTGGTTCCCTTGTGGCACTGGGACTTAAGCCCAGGGTCTTGTGCATCTGTCACTGAGCTGCACACCCGGTCAGTCTGCAAAGCTGACCTTCTGCTGGGTGGCACCCTGTCCATTGCAATGCCATGGTCATTAGAGTCTAAGTTTTTCCATTTCAAGGAATCTGGGATTTGGACACTTTCACCTTTTTCTTGAGATCTGATTCCCACTGACTCCTCCCTTTCTTCACATGGTTCCCATACATTAATTTCATAACTTTTTTTATAAGGTTCTCCACATTGCCTCTCCAGCCACACTGCCTTTTTGCCCCATCATTGCGGAGTCAGAGGCCCCCTGCTGTAGCGCCTCAGTAGTACTTTCTGTTCCTTCTGCCTGGGACACTCTTGTGTCCAGCATCCTGTGGCTCACTCCCCCACTTCAACCAGGACTCAGCTTAAATGTCCCATTCTCAGAAATCTGTTCTTTGGCTTCCCTCCATAAAGCAGTGTGTGCGTATGCCAGCAGGCGTCCTTCTCTGCACAGTAGCTCGTCACAGTACCTATAACCAGCTGGGCATATCACATGACACAACAGGGACCATAGCCCACCCCACCCCCTCCATGATTAGGATGCTTCCTTGTAGTCAGGATGTTCACTGAGAGCAGCAGCAAACCGGTGGTCTAGCCGCACCTGCCTCTACCAGGTCACCTGCCTCTGCCAACCCATTCCCACTCCAGCCGTCAGCCACACAATACTCATGCCAGGACCCCCTCACACACTGCGTGTCACAGACATGCTGTCCTGAAGTCACCTGGGCTTTAAGAGCTGCATTCCCTTTCCCTGTGAGCTCTCGTGGCAGCCTGCACTGGACCCAAATGGTGGACACTCAGGGCTTGCTTAACTGATCTCCCCCAACCCAGGTGCCCAGTAAGCCAGGCTCCTTATCCCCACCAAGAGGGATGCCAGGGGCAACAAATCCTCACTGTGGCTCTTTGTACCATGTTCAGCTCACCAAGGAGTATGGGAAGGGAGCTTGCCCCTCCAACTCTACTGTTTAAAAAGGACAAAAAGATTAATACAGAAATGTGTTTCCATGAAAACTATGTTAAATGCTCTTTTAAATGCTCGATAAGAAAATAACTTCTTAAAAACCTGCTTTCAGTACAATGGGAACCAAACATGCAAAATGTTTGGAGACTGTGTAGAATATCTTTAAAGAGGATCAACCTTTTAGAAACTGCCAGAACTGAATAGTAAGAAATAAACTATGGGGCTGGGGATATGGCTCAGTTGGCAGAGTGCTTGTCTTACATGTACTAGGTCCTGGGTTCAAAGCCTAGCACTGCATTAACTAGGAGGTGAGGCATGTGCCTGCAATTCTAACACTCCAGAAGTAGTCAGTGGGATCAGGGGATCAATGCCAGTCTGAGCTACAAGAGATCCTATGTCAATATACGAATGAATAATTTAAAACTAAATGCAATTTAAGTAGAAATAATCACAGAGCCCCAGTCACCAGACCTTAAAAGAAAGGCTTTTTTCCTGTATCTTAAATAACACGTTAACAGATATTTATATTTTACATTAAAATAGCATGTCCAAGGTACATTGACTTTTTCGGAAAAGTTAACCCTTGAGTGAGCCCATTTTTTTCATTCAGGAGCTCTTGAGTTGGGCCAAGTGCAGCACCCATTGTTCTGTAGTGAGCATGCAGCTGCACCCCTGCCCCCTCAAGGCTGTGCAGGCTGCACCACATCTCTGCTTGTCATCCAGCCGTGGGCTGGTACACAACAGACTCATAACAATACCTATTGAATGGAGAAATGGAGAAATAGGCCGCTGGAATTCCAGTTCCCTCCTTTCCATTTCCAAAGGCCTTGCTTCCCCTGCCCGCCCCCCCAGCATCCGCCCCTTACCTGAGTCCTCCAACCCTGTAGCACCTCAATAGATGGACTGGTGCAGTCACCCAGCTGAAAGCATTCTCATATGCTTGTTGAACAGCAAGTCAGAAGATGGCAGAGAAGTGCACTACCATTACCTACCTCATATCAACTCTGATACAGCCCAAAGAGCCAGAGCCCAAAGAAGTCGTGAGATGGGTTTCCACTTTCAGGAGGTTAAGACTAGACACCGAATGGACCCGGGCCAAGATGAAGGTAAAAATGGCAATGTGTTGGCGCATTCACTGGGAACAGGCTTTTTGTTTCTGTTTTCGGGTCCGGTGAGGCGCACACGTCATCAGAGAGCTGTCGATGCCAATATATAAAGTAGACACAAACAAGAAAAAATGTTCTCAATATGTGGAGCCCCGGCTGCCTGTGTAGGCTGTTAGAACATTGACTAGAGGCCTGGCTGAGTGTCTTCTCCTTGTAGGACCTGTATTAAGTAAGCAATTAAATGTAAGGATAGGAATAAAGAAACTGCATCACAGGACTGGAGAGATGGCTAAGAGAATGTACTGCTCTTCCAGGAGACCTGAGTTCAAGTCCCAACACCCAGTTCAGGCAACCCAACTGCCCTTAACTCCAGCTCTGGGTACCTCACATCTCTGGCCTTGTCAGACACCCACACACATGGCATTCACGCACACACACACACACACACACACACACACACACACACACACACACTTTAAAATTAATAATAATAATAATAATAATAAACTATGTAATAGAATAGGTAGTTTCCTTGGTAATAAATTAGAATCACTATTTTAAAAAAAAACAGTTACACAGTGAATAGATACATAAACTGCAGTACATGCATAGAATGGAGCTAGGAGGCTGAGGCAGGAGGATCATGAGTAAGAAGTCAGTCTGGGTTATATATCAAGACCTGACAGACAGAAAGAAAGAGGAGGGATGGAAGGAAAAGAGGCAGGGAGAGATGGAAGGAATGAAGAAAAGAAGAAGAGATGGAGGAAGAGAGGAGAAAGGAGAGGAAGAGGGAGGAAAGGAAAACAGAAAAAAGAGAAATGTGAGCGGTCAAGCTGAGGAGAGAAGGAGGAAACTTGAGTTCATCTTACTAAGTGGAGGGAGCCAGCATGGCAAGACAGCATGGTCCAACCGTCGTCTCGCATTCCGAGAAAGTGACAGCTATGGAGAACATAAAATGATGGGCTGCTGCAGGGGCTATTTAGAGTCAGGGGATAGGAAGAGCAGAGGATTTTCAGGGTCGTGAAGCCACCCGCTGGGGACATTTTTGAGGGAGTAAGATCCAAACCACAGCATTGGCTAATGGCATAGAGCCCTATCTCCAGGCCACTGAGGCAATGAAGTCAGGATGGTACTCATAAGCCACCGCAAGCAAGCAGCTGAGCAAGCAGACGCCTGTTTCTTGCTCATGTCACATCCATTTCCCTTCATCTCAAAGCTCTTTTGAGTGGTTTTCCTAGGAGATGGGTCTCAGAGATCTGGGTCCTTCTATCAGTGGTCTTTATCATCCCAGAGTTCTGGTGTCTACTTGCCTTAACAGAATTCCCAAAGCCAGAGCCACATTTAAATCCCATCAAGGAAGACTACTCACATGACCCCCATGTAGCTGCAAGGGAACTGGGCAGGAGATTTCTGCTGGGTGTCCAGAGCGGAATGTTATCCGTTTGTACTCAGAGGAAAACCAGCCAACAGTGTTCATATGACCCTGGCGGCTTTATTTTTGGTGAAGTGGAAGAGAATGGAAAGGGAGCACTGTCCACCATAGCGCGTCTTCCAGCCTCCATGCACGCTCCACAGCCTCCGTCTCTCAGTCCTACGTGTAGAAGGAAGGTATAGGCAACCCAACCCAACCCAACTTCTGCAGACAGGGCAAAGGGCTCTCTGGGTTACACAGACCATAATAGGGTTAGAAGCCTCACTAGATTCTGGCTTCCTCACTCCCCCACCCCTGGCCTCACTAAACTAAAGAAAACATTCTCCAATTAGCCTAATCAACTCACATAGCCCTTCCAAACACCCGCGGGGTCTCTGCAATGACTGGGCACACAATAGCCCACTGAGCCAACCTCAGCAAACATCATATAAACTAGGTCCTCCTGCCCCAAGGCATTTATTTAGTAACAACGATGGTATCGCCAAATGTACCATATCCATTGCCCAATGTAAGCTTTGGCATCAAAGAAGAAATCATATTGGCCCCTGAAAATATTAAGATGAAATAGAGATGAAAATGAAATGGCTTCATTCCCGGGAAAACAGCTAAAACAATATCTGGACCTCATTGTTTTCACTGCTCATAAAATGCGGGAAGAAGGGGTGGGGTCATGAAGAAGAAGGGAAAAATCATCGTTAGCATTCAGATCCAGGAAAGAAATTTACAAGGAATAAACAAAGCACTAGAATAATTAAAACATAAACCAGTGTGTAGAAAAAAAAAAAAAAACTAGTTAGGCAAGCAGCCTTTCTGGCAAGATTGATCCAGGGGGAAAAAGTTTTTAAGTATAAAAAGAACGAAGACATAAGGACAGAGGAAGTCGAGATTTTTTTTAACATGCAAGCTTTGTATGGCAATAAATGCAAAGTTTTACATAAAATGATAATTTCCTAGAAAAATCTAATCTACTAAAACTAATTCAAGAACAAGCTTAAAAAAAACCTAAACTTACTGGTGTTGTGGGTTGAGTTGTGTTTCCTTAAAAGGACATGTTAATGTCCTAACCTCCAGGGCCGTAGAGTATGGCCTCATTTGGAAAGAGCATCCCTAAGGATGCAATTAGTCAAATAAAGATGAAGGTGTACTGGAGTAGGCAATGAGTAGATAGGTCCCTAACCACTTACAAGAAGCCATGAAAGGACACATTACCTCACAGAAACAGAGGCAGAAACTGGGGTGATGATGTGTGTCAGAGATGGTGGGATCACCAAGCACACAGGAGAAGCCTTTCTCCAAGGTTTGATAGACCTTTTTTTTTTTTTTTTTTTTTTTTTTGGTTTTCCGAGACAGGGTTTCTCTGTGTAGCTTTGCACCTTTCCTGAAACTCACTCTGTAGCCCAGGCTGGCCTTGAACTCACAAGATCTGCCTGGCTCTGCCTCCCGAGTGCTGGGATTAAAGGCGTGCGCCACCACCGCCCAGCTGGTTTGAGAGACTTAACCCACACCTTCATTTCATACACATTTGCCTCTGCAATGGCGAGAGTATATTTCTTTTTTTAAAGATTTATTTACATATGTGAGTGATTTGCCTGCATGTATGTATGTGCACCATGTGCATGTCTAGTACTTGTGAAGGTTAAAAGATGGTGTTGGATCCCTCGGAACCAGAGTTGCAATTAGTTGTGAGCCACCACCATATGGGTTCTGGGAATGAACTGGGTCTTCTGCAAGAGCAACTAGTGCTCTTGATGGCTAAGCCACTTTCCCAGTCAAGGCAGCAGCGTATCTTGGGTATGGGTGCTCAGAGCACGTAGATGCAGGAACCGAGCATGCTAGTGACGTGACTCCTTGTCTCTTCTTCCCAGGCACATCAAGGTGATGGAAAATTAATTGCCTACCACAGTGGGAGAAGTTTCCGTGTTCTCTTTCCTAATTGCACGGGCCAGATATAGTATCCCCTAGGGAAGAAGGGATGCTCACATTGACACCTAAGGTGTTCGTGTTTCGAGCCTAGCATGTGTTTTGACTGAGAACTGTGTCCTCTTTGGTGTCTAACCTTTCTCTGGGAGAGGGGGCTGTCCCAAGAAACTGCTTGTGCCTTAACCAACTCACAGCTATCCGTCAGGGAACCTGGCTCTGCTTATCACCCGCCAAGGAGTCGCAAAGGTCACGTACATTGTTCTAGAAGACTGTGTAAATAAAAAGATCCGGGGCCTTGTCAACAACTCTGGCCATGCCACCTTCTACAATGAGGATGGAGGGCTCTGGTAAGTTTGGGTCTTCGGACGCTGCCACTGAGGCCATGTGGAAGCTGTAGGGTGGCCATCTGGTCCCTGTCTCCTAATTGTGCATGGTAGAAACATGAGAAGGGGTTCCACGAAGGACTGGAACAGACCCTGCCCTCAGAGAAGGCGTCATAGCATTCCCCAGAGTAAAAGAGCAATCACGGCCTCTGTGATCACAGACCACTGACTTTACCTTTAAACACTTCCCAAGAGCCCAACCTGGTGAGAACTGTCCCAGAAGGCCCTGGGGCCCACTATTTTAGGAGCCTAGGAGTGAGGCCTAGGGACACACACATCATATGCAGAATCCAGTCAAAAGGCATATTCTAAATATTTCATTAAGATCTAACTTGTTTCTTAAGTCTCTAGTTCTGGTAAAGCTTTCTCTCTCTAGTTCAAGGGTGCTAGGTCCCCTCAAACTGTCTCTTAGCCTTTCTAAGTGCTCAGTACTTCCTGTTCCAATGGAAGAGATGACGGTGTGGAGGAAATGTATTATACTGGGTTAACCTGTTTTCATCAAAACCAAATGTGCTCTTATTTCTAAAAGTCTACCCTCGTCCACCTGGCCTTGGCTTTCCATGCCATCTCCTGGTTGGCTCATTTCCCTTGAGAGCTGTTGCTCTCCTCTGACAGTCCCCTGTGCAGAACATGCCATCTGCAAAGTCAGCTCCTGGGCGCAGGGAACACAGGGCCCTGAGGCAAACGACGCCCATCATGAATGGTCGCCAGTCTTGTCTGGTGACATGCAGTGGGGCCTCTTCTCTCTGAAGTTTTAAGGCCAGAAGAAAAATGGAAAAAAATCAAGGACCTGGTCACTGTGGGTGAAGAAACTTGGACCCGAAGGATGACAGCCACTTGCCCTGAGTTGTACATAAAATTAGAGGCACCAGATCTTAGGACATTTACTCTTCCTGATAAAAAGTTAGTCTAAAAGTCATCGACTAGCAGCGATAACCCCGAGGTCTGTCAATACCCAGAGGGCAGAGGGATGGTCAGAGCGGGGTGGGTGGTGGGTGGAGGGGGGTGTAAGAGCTGACTCCATCCTCAAGAGTCTGCTCTGTGGGCCTGGGACCCACAGGGTGGGGAAGGGTGCTGCCATGCTCTCAAGGGAGCGCAGGAGCAGGGAAAGAAGCGCAGGAGAGGAGGCCGTGCTACGTGAGGCCAAGGGAAGCCATGACTGAGCCTAAAGCCAGAACCTGGACTTGGGTGCACGTTCCTTGTTGGAATCTCTCTATCCCACTGTCTCAGTTAGGGTTGCTACGGCTGCAATGAAACCCCATGAGCAAAAGGCAAGTTGGGAAGTGTTTATTACACTTCCACGTCACTGTTCATCAAAGGAAGTCAGGGCAGGAGCTCAAACAGGGCAGGAACCTAGAGGCAGGAGCTGATGCAGAGGCCATGGAGGGGGGCTGCTTACTGGCTTGCTCCTCATGGCTTCCTCAGCCTGCTTTCTTATAGAACCCAGGACCACCAGCCCAGAGGTAGCGCCACCCACAGTGGACTGGGCCCTCCTCCCCCATTAACTGCTGATTAAGAAAATGCCCTACAGGCTTGCCTACAACAGGATCTTATGGAAGCATTTTTCTCAGCTGAGGTTCCCGACTCTTAGGTGACTTTAGCTTGTGCCAAGTTGACAGAAAACTATCCAGCACACTCACCCTGTGGGCCCAGGCGGGAAAGGGAGAGTGGGAGGGGCGGGGCGGGGTGGGGTGGGGCGGGGCGGGGCGGGGCAGGGGCCGTGACACAGGAGAGCTGTATCCCAGGACCCAGCACCAGACGTAGTTTCTGACTCATCTCCTTCCCCCAGGTTGAGCCTGAGCAAACTCCTGGGCTACTACTTTCCCAACGGCAAGCGTCAGAAGGCCTGGAACTGGTGGAATCTGAGCATCCACGTGCACGCCCCCCCTATCATGCGCATCACTTTGCAAGTCAACAAGTACGTCCATATCCAAATAAGGAGCCAGGCGAAGGTCCTCTTCTGCTTCTTCCCCCCCAAGCAGAAGAAGATTTGCTTAAACATGGGCACCAAGTTCAAGGTAACGGCTTCACTCCCCCCCCCCCAACCAGAAACCAGTGAAAGGGAATAGGAGAAGGGATCAGGGTGAGGGGAAAATATACAGCCTCCAAGAACGCACGCTTGATGGCCGGCTTCCTCCAGCCAGGCTGCACCTCCTGCTCTTCATCACCCCCAATAACAATGCCATCACGTTCAGAATCCACCAAGGGATTGATCCGCATCTGAAAATCACCGTCGCACATACAAACGTGTGCTTCAGTACTCTCCGAGGTGATTCTCAGTCCAATCAAGAGGACAATCCTGTCTTAGTGTTTCTGTTGCTATGACAAAACACCATGACCAAAGCAACTCCGGGAGGAAAGGGTTTGTTTGGCTCACACTTCCACATCACTGCTCATCACTGAGGGAAGTCAGGACAGGAGCTCAAGCAGGGCAGGAACCTGGAGGCAGGAGCTGGTGCAGAGGCCATGGAGGGGGGCTGCTTACTGGCTTGCTCCTCACGGCTTGCTCACCTTGCTTTCTTACAGAACCCAGGGCCAGCAGCCCAGGGGTAGCACCACTCATAGTGGACTGGGCTCTCCCCCCCCCCCGCCCCCCATCAATCACTAATTAAGAAATGCACCACAAGCTCACCTACAACCCGATTTTAGGGAGGCATTTTCTCAGTTGAGGTTCCCCCCTCTCAGATGACTTTGGCCGGTATCAAGTTAGCAAAAAACTACCCAGCGCAACAACAAAGGTTAACCACGGTCTCAGTTAGGGTTTCAATGGCTGTGAAGAGACACCATGACGATAGCAACTTTTATAAAGGAAACCATTTAATTGGGGCTGGCTTGCAGTTCAGAGGTTTAGTCCACTGGCACTATGGCAGGAAGCATGGCAGCGTGCAGGCGGGCGGAGGCAAGAGTTCTACAGTCGGATGGGCGGGCAGCACAAAAGCGAGACACCCCGGACCAAAGCCGAGCTCCTTAAACCTCAAAACCCGCCCCCAGTGACACACTTCCTCCGACAAGGCCACACCTACTCCACCAAGACCACACCTTCTAATAGTGCCACTTCCTATGAGTCTAGGGGGGGCTGTTTTCATTCAGACCACTACCATCTTGCCTTCTTTTCCTCACACTCCGCCATATACACATGCTTTCGGGTAACAGGCCAGCACCTCAGGATTGCATACCAGAGAAACCAACGCACCAAAGAGCTGCCTGTGGAACAGACTCATGCTGTCAACACGCACTGCCCCACTTATTCACAGCAGCCCTGTGGGAAATTAAGGCCAGATGCAAGACAGGAGATTTAGGCTCTTTGGTCCTCCCCCCAAAGGGGAGGTGCACTGTTCTCACATACGCACCCCAAAATGGCACAGAACAGCAGCACAGACACAAGAGCTGGCTCACCTCCAGCTCTGCTGGAAAGCAGCGTCATCCACGGGTCACGTGACCACAGGAGCCGGCCAGGTGGACACTTGGGTCACCAACAAGAAGGTCACAGGTAGCGGGGCTAGGGAATGAGATCCGCCCTCAAGGGTGAGGGTCCCAGAGACCTTCATCTTGGCCACAGTGGGGCTAAGCCCTGGGTGGGGACACGGCATCTGAGCAGGGTCGGTCCTCACCCAGCCTTCCACACACCCCACAGTTTCTAAACCTGAAACTACTTCAAGTCATGAAGAAGAAGGCAGTCCTGGAGACAGACCCCCGCCCAACGTCGTGGAAGATCCAGGCTCTTCTGGGGAAAATGAGTAAGAGTCTGAACTTCCTGACCCTGTCCGACTTGGAAGACTTCATGGAGGTCGTCCAGGTGGCACTCAACAACCTCAGTGCAAGGAAATCTCGAATCTGGGTTTAGGGCAGCCACCACTGGGTGGTCCCGGGCCTCCACCGCATGTCTTGGGAAATGAGAGACCTCGGGAGCCACAGGGACCCGTTTATGGCTTTGAGAGTCAGCTTGTCGTTCAGGACCTGTCCCAGCTCCTTTGCTGAGGGTTAAAAAAAAAAAAAGGTGGGGATGGGTAAACAGAATCTGTGGCTGGGCACAGAGAAGGCTTAGTAGTCAGCCCTGACACATCATCACGGTAAGTAACATTGGTCACCATCTGTCCCCTTGTTCCCGTCCAGCTGTACGGAAATTCTTCCCTGGCTGTCAGTACTTGCTGTCCCTGAAGACATAGGCCACCAGGCTCTGTCCATCATTATCTGTGTGTCTTTGGCAAGCAGAGTTTCCCCCTTAGTTTCTCCATCTGTAAAATGGGCCTACAAAGAGTTCCTGCTGTGACAGAGTCGAGAGTATTAAATTCATCCGTGCAGGGCGTATCCCAGGGAGAGTGAACCCCCACAGCCAGCATCACTCAATTACTCGAACCTCGCCCCCCCCTCCAGTGTGCGTCTCTTAGTTAAGGCTGGGGGTCTGCATTCCCCTTGGCTGACAGGGTCAGCCCCCATCCTCTGTCCTGGGACTTTTTTGTCATGATTCTAACTGCATTTGCCAAGCCCGTGCCATGAGCTAGTTGGGCCACTTGGCTCTCTCTGTGTCAGAGGCAGTATTTCTCTTGAAGACACGGAGGCCAGGAGAGGCACAATGACTCCCTCGACAGCCTATAAGCTACCTGTCTATGAGGTGACATCACCCTCGTAACTGCACCCCATCTCAGAGTATCTCCAAACCTCAAGGTGGCCCCAGAACACTCCTACCCTTCCTCCACTTTGTTGCAGGACTCACACCCATCCCAGTCCAGACTGGGGCCCTCTGGAAGACTGTCCCAGACATCAAGCTGCTGCAGACATCGCACCGGTCACACCCCACTCCCGGCCTTGGCACATTTGGGGAACAGTGCAGAATACTGTTGCTTATGCCAGGCTGAGAAGGCAGTAGAAAACTCTCACTCCAGGACCCTACTGCTTCTGCACTGCCCTGAGGGCCGTCACTAACACTGACCCCATCACAGACGGCCACTTGTCCACCCAGCTCCGTCACAGCAAAAGAAAACCTAGACAGAAACCCAATACCAGTCTGCACTTAGTTCCCTAAACAAGAAGCTGAACTGAGGCCCACAGAACCCACAAATTCACTCCTCAGATAGCTAGGGCTCTTTGGGTCATTAACTCGGTAGCTAGACCAAAGCAGGAAGTGTGTCGTCTCCTAGCTAAAAACACTTCACCAAAGAAGTAGTAGTGACCTCTAGATCAGAGCCCTTCTGTCCTGGGGTACCCAGCCTGTCCTAAAGAGGCTGTCTGGACATCTCAGTTCACAGGCTTCTGTCCCCTGAGCACTCTGGAAGACCCTAGTGGTCTCTGGCTCACCCTGCTTCAGAAGAGAGGGGCAGAGGCAACGTTGGGTAGAAATCGCCTTACAATGGCGTATCCACCTGGAAAAAAAAAAATGGCATTGCTGGATGCAGCCAGCGTGAAGGAAATCTTCTTCAGCTTTGAGTGAGCTGCTCCATCATGCAAGAGTGGGGGTGGGACTACAGCTCCTTCCATTAAAACAGTGGGTGACCCAGGGACAGCCTGTCGATCCAGCTCACAATCACGCAAACTGAAGGCAAAAGGCACTTAACAAAACACAAAATGACCCTGTGGTTTTTTTTTTTAATCCTGGCTGCTGGATTCAGACGCCTTCGGTCCAATCCAGTGTGGCAAGGGAGGGTGGAATTCTATAAACAAAGCTCCGTGATACCAAGCCCGGGGTGGAGCAGTTTGTAGAAAAGTCGGAGTTGAGCTCGGTGCCCCCCCCACAAAGTGCCTTTTATATAGACATGGAGTCCCCATTCTTCCCAGGATGACCTTAACCCCAGCCTCAACCAAGAAAACCGAGCACCTCTCAGCCCAGCCTGGCAACTAGCCATTCTCCAGTGTGAGCAGTGACATCTAAGTGCCACCTCTGTGTCCTACTGCCCTGATGATTTCCCACCCACCCACCGGGTGCCACCCACTTCCACCAGTGTCACCACCCCCGGACCGACCATCCCCTGAGCAGCTGGAGTGGGAAGGTGGCGCTCAGAGGAGCCACACGGCACTTCTGTGGGACCGCCACACTGTATTGGTGAGTGGCGCTCAGAGGAGCCACACGGGCACTTCTGTGGGACCGCCACACTGTATTGGTGAGTGGCGCTCAGAGGAGCCACACGGGCACTTCTGTGGGACCGCCACACCGTATTGGTGAGTGGCGTCACTGCAGAGACAGAGCACAGTCACAGGTAACGAGCTGTGACAAACATGGCACTGTGTTGGCATCCCCACACACCATCACCAGCACTTCAGTGACTTCTCGGTACTACATCCGTGCTCCGTGTATGTAGACCCCTTTTTACTGCACTCTGGATCTTAAACCCCTTGTCCCGCCCTTAACTGCATCCAAGGCTCGGTCTCCAGCCTGATGCACTATTGGGAGGTAGAGCAACTTTTCAGAGGTGGGGCCCAGTGCAAGGAAGTTGGGTAACTGGGACACCTGTCCTCTAAAGAGAGATTGGAACCCTGGCCCCTCCTCTCCTTACTTCCTTGATGCACGAAACAAGCAGTTTTGCTACATCGTTCATTTCCCACCATGACACTCAGCCCACCACAGGCCCAAAGAGACGGAACCAAGCAAGCGTGGGCTGAAGCCATGACCCAAAACAATCGCTCCTTTTGCCTCAGGACCCCACACACTTGTTAGGACGACCTAAGGGTCTTCCGACATTGCCTCTGTCCCCTGACGAAGATGCGGAGTATGCGGCAGTAGATCCCGGCAACCTGTTGTGTTGGAGAGGGGGTACTATCTAGTTTGTTATGGCCAAGTGTGTCCACTTTAGCTAACATTTCATGTATTTGGGAAGACCATATATACTGTAACTTCAGAGTATCTAATTTACTAATGGGAAAATTCAGGAAAATCCTGACTTTGGATTATTATGTAAGATAGCTAGCCTCTTTAAAACAGAAATCGAAGGCAGGCAGGGAGGGAGGGAGGGAGGGAGGGAGGGAAGGAGGGAGGGAGAACTTGTCACCAAAAAAGTTGAGGTGATCAAATCAAAAGGAACTGAAGAAGGGCAGGGGAAACGGGTCCAGTGGTTACCAGGCAAGCCTGAGGAACTGAGTTCAGATCTCCAGCACTCACACAAACGCCGAGCAGATGTCCTGGTCCAACTACAATCCTGGAACTTGCAAAAGAATATTCTTATTCTTTAAGAGATTGATGCTAAAATATTTAGGAGCAAAATGTTTTAAGTACAACTTGAAAACACTTCAGCAAACTAATGTGTGGTTCTACACACTAATTAAAAATTAAGTGTGTAAAAGAGCCCCATCTGGTAAGAAGATTTGTCTTCAAATACACATAGAAAACTCTGGAAGCTATATGCCGAACACTTAATGGTTTGCTCTGGGAAGGGGCGCTCACTGATGAGACGTTCATGCTTTGTATCTGAATTCAAACACTACAGGTGACTAGTCGTGAGCTCTATTTGCGTAGCTGGAAAATGTCTCTTGAAGCTGTATTTTCTTAAAGGGAAATTAAGGCCTTGGTCAGGTGACTGTATAACCGGATGCCTCTGCACTGGATTCTACGGGCCTCACCCTTTTCACAAAGGTTCCCACTGCAGCAAGGTGTGGCAGCATGCCCCTGTACCACCACTTCCACGAAAGGCAGATGACTATTGAACAGGAGGCCAGCCTTGGCTACATAGTGAAACCCTGTCTCAATCAAAGCCAACCTAGAAGATAGAAAGCGCCCCAGAGGGAAAAAAATCCAAGTCCCTCTGTCCTGAATAGGGTCCACCGCCAACATCTCCAGGTCCCTCTAACCCAGGGCCAACATCTCCAGGTCCCTCTAACCCAGCGGTTCTCAGCCTTCCTGATGCTTCGACCCTTTAATGCAGTTCCTCATGTTGTGCTGACCCCCAACCATAGAAATATTCTTGTCACTACTTCATAACTGTAATTCTGTTACTGTTATGAATCACAATGTAGATGTTTTTGGAGACAGTGGTTTCCCAGAGGGGTCGAAACCCGCAGGTTGAGAACCTCTGTTTTAGCCAACAGCCCCCTTTAAAAGATTGACCGGATGTCCTATTGTAAGGTACCAGCATGGGAGCATTTAAAGATCCGGGGTGGTTAAACCAGGCAGAAAATACAAATTTGTGTGTATTGTTATTACAACACTTCTTAATTTCAATGCAACCATCTGTGCTGACAGTACTTGGGAAATTGGCAGTTTTACAATTTAAAAAAAAAACAAAAACAAAAAAAACATTCTCTCACTCTAACTCCGATCTGGAATGTCTCCCAAATATCCATGTGTTAAAGACTTGTTCTCCAGTCCCTAGTGCTACCAAACGTAGCGGGACTGGTGGGAGGTGGGCCTTTGAAGGGGTTAGAGGACCCAGGCACACACACACATCCTTGACTTCCTTTTTTGATTCCTAACCTTCCAGGGGTATCTTCGCTGTCCCATGCACCCCCGGCCACGACAGGCGCCTCACCACAGGCCCCAAAGCAATGGGGACTGTCATACACAGTGTATTAGTGACTACACTGTCGTGCGCTGTGTGCAAGCCCTCCCTCCCTCCCTATCTCAGCATGCTTATGTCAAGAGTCCCCCAAACTGTCCTGGGTGAGTTGCCGGCCCACCCCTCCACCCCCCCCGGGCTCTGTGACGGGGCAGGGAAAGAAGCAAAAAGTGAAACGTTTCCAGCAGAGGTTACCGTTGTTGTATCCCGTGTATAAAAACGCCCACCTGGGACGGGGCAGCTGGACGCTCACCCAGGAAGAGAAAGCTCAGGTTGGCAACCCTACTTGATCTCCGCTGGCTGTTGGGAGTCCGATGGGGTTTCCTTTGTCTGCTCTCCATCAGGCTGATCCAGTTTGTGCTGGACGTCAGGAGTGCCTGACTTGACGATGCTCTGGTTATCAGAGGCTTCTATCTGCACTTGCTAATTGTGCGTGCTATATAATTAATAAACTCACACGTCTGAAACCAAGAGTGGCTGTAGCAGATTATTCTCCAGACTATAAAACAGGACTAGTCTCCAGTCAATGCATCATGCCAGGAGCCAAAACCGTGAGCCAAAATGAGCTTTCTGTGTTCCTAAGCTGACTTATCTCAGGTATGCTACAGTAACAGAAGATGAACCCACTTCTAACTAGTAAATCACTAAGGTATCTCCGACGCTGGGTGTGGTGCACAAATCCCAGCACCTGGGAGGCCAAGGCAAGCAGACCTGAGTTCGAGGCCAGCCTGGTCTACAAAGCAAGTTCTAGGACTGCCAGGGCTACACAGAGAAACACTGTCTCAAGAAAACTAAAAAGAGAGATTAAAATGTCCTTTCACAATGATTATTACACAGGAGAGCCAGGGAAAGCTAAGATTAGCAGAGGGCACTGATGTCAAAAACTGGTTATAGTGAACCCCACTCTTGTGAGATGTTACCATTGAGCAGAACTAGACAAAGGGAACTCAGGTACTATTTCTTATAACTACACACGAGTCTACAACTTGTCCCAATAAAATCTGCAATCAAAATATTCTTAAAGAGTCCACATGCATACCAAACACGTGACAACAAAGTAGGAAGCAAAGATCTTTATTTTTTAAAAAATTTATTTATTAAAAACAGCAATTTCTAGCTAAATAATATAAAGCATTTAAATTAATTATTTCAAAGTATGTACACTCTGTATAAGTAAACACTTGAAACTGTACAGATTTAAACAAATATTCATTCAGCAAACAAACTGGATCAGTACCACCTTCCCAGCACTTGGAAAGGTGTTGAGTGTTTTCAGAAATAAAAAATCAAATCCCAAGAACAAGTGTCTCCTTGGAGATCACGTCCTGCTCTGTACATCAGACTACTGAGTCACAGTGCTGTACAACAATTATGCCCTCACTTCTTTGGAAAGGCTATTTGAACACCAAATGTACATATAATACACAGAACTGGATATTACAGTTTGTCACATTAGACATGTATTAATATAGTAAGTACAATCTTCCTAACTCATTCATTTTATAGCAAAGAAAAATATGGACCCTCTTACTTTCGAGTTCCCCAAAATATAGAGTAATATGCTCTACCAAGCAACGTCCACCACCGATTTACACTGGGTTGAAGAACAAGTGGCCTGTTGCATCAGGACGGGTCACCCCCACGCACACTGTGCAGGAAGGTGCTCCTGTCACTCACCTGCATCATGAGGTCGCCTGCCCTATTTCAGAGCCCCCGGCACCATCCCACCCTCAAGTCTACAGTGAGTAACTGAAGAAGCAATCTACAAGGCTACATTTACTCTAACACCAGGGGCTAAGCCAATCCAATCTCAAATTCAAAGAGGAATTTGTAGGAAAATTCAGGGATGCTTCTAGTCCTTTGACCTTGACTGGTGTCCTCTTGAAGGTATGGGCAGTGTTTGCCACCTTAGGTGTTCGGCTGTGGCAGGACTGGGGATCCCAGAAGGCTGGTGTCTAGTATAACGTAGGCAACCAAAGAGTAGTCACTTTATAAAGACTGACAGCAACCAAGGCCAGCAGAAGGCCAGCAACTAAGCTCCGCTCCTGAGACCCACTCCTCACAGACTTCCCTCTCTCCAAGATGTGCCAGACGTAAGAGCCCATCACTGGTGACTCCTCCTCACCCACTGGCGCCCATACTGGGAAGCTCTGATACCTGAGACACAGCTGTCTAGTGAGGAGAATACAGTTCAGGAGAGGACCTTACATGAGGCCTTGGCTTATTGCAACTGCCTCACATCAAGTCCACAGGAAGATGATAGCCTGGGTCCAGGAAAAGCAAGATGTCTTCTTGGAAGCAACCAATCTACTCCCAGCTCCACCTCAAGATGGCAGGAGGAACACTGCATCAGGATACAGAAGGAAGATTTTCCAAGTGGCAGTCACCGTGGACTGCCTGGCGGCTAATGCCTTGCAGTGTCCACAGGAGCAATGGTGACCCAGCGGCTGTCCAGGTAGCTGAGTTCCTATGAGGTCCTTTGCACTATTTATTGTAACCCACTTTTATTGCACAATCTCTGTGAAGGAGCGTTTCACTGTGAACCCGTGGCCCCCTCTTAGACCACTCCATTCCTGGAGACCGTCTCGATGAGGCGGCACCCTGCTGTCAATCTTTGGCATTTCCGTCTTCTCCGGCTTCACCCAGGCTTCCCTCTGCAGGCAGCATTGAGCAGCACACCCGTGTTCCTCAGGAGCCATCCCACATGGGGCCTTGGGCATCTTTGCGGCTGCAGGACTCCTCAGGTCTCTCCCGGGGGACAGACCGTTGACACCCAGGGTCCAGTGGTACTATTTAGAAACCGACAGCAGGAGGTTCAGCTGAAAAGCAGCAGAGAGGCCTGTGTTAGTTCTCTATGGACTTTCACCCTCAGAAGTCTCCAGTCCCAAAGGCACGAGGAAAGAAAAAGCTGAGATTTTTACAGCTGTCACTGGCAGTACAGTAACCCAGCGATGGGAGAGCTCGACACAGCGCACAAGAGGAAGGCTGGACACTCAACTCATGCCACGGTTCTCTACCCAGGGCTCCGGAAAGCACCACCGTAAGCTGAGTTCTTTCAGTGATGGTTTTACTAGTTTTGTTTATTTGTGTAAGGTATAGCCAGGCTAGCCCTAAACTCAACATCCCCCCATCTCAGCTTCCTTAGTGCTGGAATTTAAATGATTTTTAAAAAGGACAGAGACTCACGTTGTTCAGGCTAGCCTCAGACTCACTGTTTAGCTGAAGGTGAGCGTCACCTGACTCCCTCTCCCAAGTGTTCAGGTTAGGGGCATGCACTAGGCAGGGCTGCAGGGGTTCTGTGGTGCTGGGGTGCTGGAGACCGACCCCAAGGCCTCCTGCACTGGAGGAAAGCACCCTGACAACTGAGCGTCACCTCCAGCCCTTAGGTGACTTTTTCAATGCCAGGAGCAGGCATGCTAGGTGAGTTCTGGCTTATCCACGA